CTCCCTCAACTAAAAGCTCTCTAGGAAACTCAGAAACTAACAATATCTCCTCATTTAGAAGGCAATCATCTAAGCAAGCTGTCCCAAGAACAAATTCCTGCTCCCTACAGGTGGAAAACACTACAGGGAACTATGGATTTCAATCTTGACTGTGTCACCAAACTAGCTCTTTGACATTCTCAAGTTTAACTTAACCAGTCTGGCCACAATGCTCTCTTCTCCAGCTGACCTTGCAGAATCAAAGATATCATCCAAAATTATATCACACTTAAGCAATTACCTAGTTCTCGCTTCAGTACTCTGCAGACACTCCAGAAGAGAGTCCTCCCCATCTGGAGCCTGTCTTTCTTTGTACACATCCTTCCTGAATCTATCCCTGGTTTTTATCCCTATTCTTTATACCCTCACCCCAGGTCTTATATCGCCTATTCTAGGCTGCTTTTTTCCCCATCAAGAAACAAATATAGAACCATCTTCTCCCAAAATAACCTCTTGACGTAAAAATGTCACAAAATAATCACTCAATAACAGTGACTTTTCAAACCATGAACTACTACGATCTTTCACTTTATTCTAATCTGTTGAAAAATACATTTTTCTTCCCACCACCCCAGTTAATTGCTAAAGAAATATATGTTGCCCAGCCGGGCGTGGCTCAGTGGTTGAGCATTGACCTAGGATCCAGGAGATAGCAGTTCAATTCCTGGTCAGGGCACATGCTCGGGTTGCAGGCTCAATCCCCAGTCGGAGGCATGCAGGAGGCAGCCGATCAATGACGATGCTCTCATCATTGATGTTTCTCTCTCTCTCTCTCTGAAATCAATAAAAAAAAGAGAAATATATGTTAAAGGACGAGAGTGGGTGCCCGCCCAGCGTGGCTCAGTGGTTGAGCATCAACTTATGAACCAGGAGGTCATGGATCCATTCCCGGTCAGGGCACATACCCAGGTAGTGGGCTTGATCTCCAGTCGGGGGCGTGCAGGAGGCAGCCAATCAATGACACTCTCATCATTGATGTTTCTATCTCTCTCTCTCTCTCTCCCTTCCTCTCTCTGAAATCAATAAAGATATATTTATTTTTTAAAAAAACAAAAAAAAACCCCAAGTACAACCATCCTCCCCAACCCAGGCACCCCTCTTAGAATTAAAAAAAAAAAGAAAAGAAAGAAAAAAAAAAAGGACAGTGGGTGGAGAATGGTAGATCGAGGCAACCGGATTGGAACCTTGAAAGCTGGGATAGAAGAGCTACAAGGCAGGCAGAGAAAAGCATATGTGATCACAGCTAAACCCACCTAAGAGCAGAGGTAACTTCCAAATATTCCTAGTTTTTCCCAGTACTCTACTTGCAGACTTTAAGTGCAAGCATAATCCTCTAGGAATATGGTTTTCAGCTCTTTTTTAATAGCAGAACACTTCGTTTTTCCTCCCCAAAAGGTATTTTACATGGTATCCCGATACTTAAAACTCAGAGGAGGAATTAGTCTGCTTAGGAGAGGACTAGGAAACCTGAAGCCTAGAATGCTAGGCCCACCTGCCTCTTCCTTCCAAGCACTCCTACAGCAGAGACTGGCACACTGAGGCGAGATTCCGTGGGACAACTTGAGAACATAATTATCTAGGGGAATCCTCAAAGCCCAAGTAGAAGAAAATGAACAAAAACTACTGGAGGTAATATAGACGGAGAGCTGCCCTGGCTGGGTAGCTCAGTTGGTTAGAGTGTCATCCCAATACACCAAACCTGAGGGTTTAATCCCTGGTCAGGGCACATACACAAATCAACCAATGAAGGCACAAATAAGTAGAACAAATTGATTTTTTTTTCTCTCTCTCTCTCCCTTCTCTCTAAAAAAATAAAACACACACACACACACACACACACACACACACACACGGGGGTCAGAGAGGAAGCACAGAGGTAGACTTTTTCAGCTAGCCAGAATCCTAGCTAAGCACAGCTATGATTTTCTACTACAATTTCAAAGTACTGAATCACTAAGTTGACAGTCAATTATATATTAGTAAAATTAAGGCATGGACTTCATATAGGAAACATCTTTCACCTAAATATCCATGTTACATAGTACCTTTCTTCAAAAGCATTTTCACATATTCTCATTCTTTTTATTCTCTTTATTTTAAAAAATGTAATAATACATGTTACTTGTAGAAATTTTGGTAAATTCAGGGTAAAGTTTTAAAAAGTTACAATTTACCGTTTCATTTGTTTTCAACATTATTCTATGAAGCAGATAGAATCACTGTTTTTTGTTTGTTTGTTTTTCAGTATCACTTTTTAAAGTGAGAAAATCCAAAGACAACAGTTAAAAATAATACTCTAGAATAAATTATAAGTAATTTGTATACATAACCATAAAATTTCAATTGAAAATTAGTATGAAAATCAGAGACTGGAAAAATCCCTTCAAACTGAAATTTCAGGGAGACTCCCCTTCAATGAAATGCTAAAATCAGAATTGATTTTGAAGACTGAGTAGAACTTGGGTTGGAAAGTCAGAAAGAAAAAGGGAGAATAGTCCAGGAAGAGAGAAGTACACAAATAATATGAGGAGGGCCTGATAAGACAGCAGTAGTACTGATTACCAGATTTGAAAATTAGAATCAAAGTAAGAAAAAACTCTGTTCAGGGAAGAAGCAGAAATTAGCTGGCAAAAATTATTTTGACCAAACAAGCAGGTAAAAGCCATCTCTTCCCACTGCTACATGACTGAAACTCCTGATGGAGTTATCCTAGATAAGAACTAATTCATCTTAACTTTTGAAATTAGGAAACAGTGATAAATTTCCATTTAAAAAATCAAGTTCTTTATTCTCATACAAAATGACACAAATCTTAAGATGTTTAGGTTACAGCTGACAATTTATCAATTTCAAACAATATTTTTAAGAAAATAATTTTTAACACCCTTGGTGGAATATGACTTATAATTTTAGAATCTCATATAAACTGTCCATTTTAATTTGCCCTCAGAAAAAAGCTTTGTACTTTAATTCATTCCTCCCTTCTTTTAATAGCTAAAAAGGTGATGACTAGAATTTGGATTATCATCCACAAGAATTAAACTGCTTTCACTTTGTGGGCCCCATATCACAACTCTCTGCCTCCCAAGTATTCTGAAATACTGAGCTTTCAGTTTTCAAGGCAGGATTTCTACTTCAGGGTCAAGAAATAATCTTCATAAACAAATACCTAAATAGCATGATGACTTCTATATTAGTCTTACTGATCACAGGATATTACAAATTACACATAATCTTATTTCTTCCTTACCTGTTTCTCAGGCCTGTTCCATTGCCACAGCCCCCACCAACCAAAGTCTGTAAAGAGGGTAAAGCTGAACGGCTTAGCTGCTGCCGACTAGGGCCCCTCCTTCCACCGGGCATGTCCGGGAACCAGTCTGCTTCCAGTGCCACCTGTAGTTGCAACCCAGGTTAATGGTTGTCAACCTGTTTCAACTCTGAACAATAACAAAATAAAACCAAAAAAAAATTAAATATCAGTTTACTATTTTTAAACTAGGCAACGTAACAAAACAACCAGAAAAACTGAGTGAGCAGGGCTTGTAAAACCAGATTTTCAAACAAATGTTCAGTATCTACTACCTACTTTATTCTAATGAAATGAGTACTCAGACTCTAATGGATCAGGTCAGAAGCGTAAGTTCTGATCTAAGGTCTGTTCAGCACTAGGGAAGTCACAATTTTTATCTTTTGTCACTTAAGTATAGCATATGAAAGATATTACAATCAGGTAGAAATTCACAAGAAACACCTAATATAAACATTTCCAATTCAAATGTAATATTTCACAGTAAGCCTCTTGAAATAGAGGAGAATCAGCACTGTACAAAATGTTACATTTTGTTACCAGGGGATCTGGTTCTGAGATCAGATGTGTCACATGTTATCTGACTTTAAACTTAGGCATTTAATCTCTGAGTTTCTTTATCAAAAGAAAAAAAAGTGTTCCCTGTCCTACAGAGGCTGTTGTCAGGATTAACAATGACGATTGTTAACAATTAACAATTCTGTAAAAGGAGAACTGTTCAGGTGGTATCTCCATACGTTAGAGTGAAAACATTGGAAGGAGTTCAAGTGGATGCCCACTCCAGAAAAACGTATGTAAGATCAGTTAGAAATTACTGAAACCTCAAGAGTAAAATATAAGTCACAGACGAAGAGCCTCACTTAAAAGAAACTGTCTTCATCAATCTGGCAAAATCACAGCTCCTTCCAATATGGATATGAAAATTTGTTTACTAAACGATACAACTTAAACACTGTAGAATGACACCCTGTAAAAAAAAACACCCAAAAACAACAAAAAATCCTGGCTTTCAGAACATTACCGCAGAAAGCCGTATTCCTACAGCTTTTGACTGAAGTCTAATAAGCGCCAGGTGAGACAAAGCATTCAAACTGCTGGGTGTGGGTAGGGGCTGCTGGTCCTTGCCCAAAGGTAAAGAAAAGTGTGGAGAGGGAAAAAAATAAAATGAAATGAAATGGAAGAGGCGAGAGGATGTGGTGGGGGGTAGGTGGATGGCGAGACGCTACAAACTTCAACAGACCGGCCCCTAACGAGGGGACAGGCGGTCCCCACTGCGCAACCCGGAGAGCCGAAACAGGCCCTGGACAGACGGACAGCACGGCAGCTCGGTAATACTCACGCATGGAAGAAGCCCGGCCGGTGGGGCGGGATCCCTGGGAGGAGGCGACAGCTTTACAGGACAGACCCCAAGCCAGAGAGCTCCCTCCCCGCGTTGAGACGCTCCAAACCAGCGGCTTGTCCGCAGGCCGCCCAGCCCAGAGAGTAAAAAAAAAATGTCCCAGCTTCGAGTTGCCAGACCCAGGCCTAGGCCCAGACTCTGAGTCAGTGCCAGAGTCAGAGCAAGCGCTAAAGCTAGAAGCAGAGCTCAGTGCCGTCAGCACTCATCCTCAGCCTCCATTACCGCGGAGCTGAGCAGACGTGGCAGCGCACGGCGATGACGTCAGCTTCGCGACGGCTGGGCATCCGACCTGGGAGCCCGCTCCCGGAACTACAAGGACCGCTGGAGGAGCGAGCCTCCCCGCCCCCTCCAGCGTGCACATGCGCAGTGGGACGCGCCTTCTCCGGACTCGTGGTCCAGCGCTCCCGGCCAGCGCCAGCTCACGCATTTCCTGCTCGGGCCTCAGTAAGCCAGCCCCTAAGGGTCACTCTGGTAACGTCGTGGACTCCAACTGTATGCAAGTTGTCGCTCCGGTTTTACGGATGGGGAAGGTTGGGAGACGTCACCTAAGGTCACGTCACTGCGAAGTAAAGGAGCCCAAATCGCGCGGTCTTGCTTCAGCATCCAGTCGTCCTGTTTACTGTAAAGGTCTAGAGTCTAGAGGAAGAGACAAATTGTGAAATAACTTACATTGTTACAAAAATTACAATTTGTTACAATAAATGCAACATTAATATTCTGCCCAAGGTCGGGAGATGGCATGCAAGACGGCGTAATAAATTCTGTGGGATGGTGGTGGTGTCCATACCAAGGAAAGCTGCAGAGAGCGTTTGGGGTTTGAAGCCTAGACTCCAAGAAAGAACAGGCAGTTGGTGGGAGAATGACTTTCAGGGAGTTGGCAGATAATAAAGTAAGGAGGTGGACAACATCATGATGAAATCAGAAACTGTCAAAAGTTTGGTATTAAAAGAAGAATAAAAGTTTCAAAAGGAGCACTTGTGTGAGATCTCTTGCTCCAGAGATTATATAAGAGCCTTAAGAGAAAGCTTTTTGTATTGGGTAGATGATTAGTTAACTATTACTGAGAGTTTTTTTGGCACCAGACACTAGACTAGTAAGTGGCTGTATATAGTATATTTCATTTAAATCTCGTAATGCTTTGATACTACCATTGTTTCTATTTTACAGAGGAAACTGAAGGTAGGAGACATGAATATATAAAATTCAACACAGATCATTACATATTTTCATTGTATTCACCTGTAGGTGTATGGAGTTTTGCACATTTGTTTTCTTATTCGGTCTGTTAACTGTTCCCTAACTTGCTACATTGAAACTCCTTTACCACTTTTCTGTTGTCTTCGCAGCATCTGTCCTTCAGTCAGCAGTTATTTAGTAACTATTATGAACTAGGTATAGTGTCATTGAACAAGACAGATATGTCTCTGCCCTCCGGAAGCTTATATTCTAATGAGGGAAACATTTATTTAATAAATAAGATAGAGATTGTAATGTTATGAAGGGGATAAAGAGGTGAGGTAGACAATAAGGAGGGTGCTATTTTGAGGGGATCCTGTCTGAGGGGATGACATTTCAGCAGAAACCTGAATGCTAGGAAGGGACCAGAGATGCAAAGATGGGAGAGAAAAGCAATCCAGATAGTAAACAAAACTTATGCAGAGGTTCTAAAGTAGGTTAGAGCTTGGCATGTTTGAGAAACTTAACACAAAATTGTATAGCTCAATCATGGTGAGCAAAGGGAAATGTGGTGGTAACAAAAAACAACTTCCACAGCAGAAAGTGTTTTTTAAAGAAAAGTTTTACTGAACCAAAAAAGCTAGCCAAAAAGAAGACCAGTCTTTGGACAGGAAGTCCAAACCAGGAGCACAGCTAGGTGGAAAAAAATAGACATGTCCAGTATCCCAGAGTCTTGCAAGGGGTGGAGGTGGGGGGCATGTAAGCTGTTCTGAAAGGATTTACATTAGCTATAGATAAAGGAGATGGAAGAAGGTAAAGTGGAGCTAGTTTGGGGATAAGCTCAGCAGAGTCCTCCAGGAAGGAATGTCTGCTCCTGTGGATTAGCTGTAAGCAGCAGACTGGAAAATTCATGTGTTAATAAGTGGATATTTGTGGCAAATTGATGCAGCCATTATGGAAAATAGTGCACAAGGTCCTCAAAAAAATTAAAAATAGAACTATCTTATGACCCAGCAATTCCACTTCTGGGTATTTATCCAAAGAAATCCAAAACACTAATTGGAAAAGATATATGGCCCTGGCCAATATGACTCAGTGGTTAGAGCATCAGCCTGTGGACTGAAGGGTCCCGGGTTCAATTCCAACCAAGGGCATGTGCCTCAGTTGCAGGCTCGATCCCTAGCCACATGTTCTGTTCAGGATGTGTCTCTCACACACCAATGTTTCTCTCTCTCCACCATTCTCTAGGAAAAGCAACAGAAAAAAAATATTTTAAAAAAATATATACGTACCCCTATGTTCATTGCAGCATTATTTACAATAGCCAAGATATGGAAGCAATCTAAATGCCTATGGATAGATGACTGGATAAAGATGATATGGTACATATACACAATGAAATATTACTCAACCTTAAAAAAGAATGAAATCTTACCATTTGTGAGAACATGGATGGACCTAGAGGGTATTGTGCTAAGTGAATTAAGTCAGAGAAAGACAAATACTGTACCATATAATTTCACATGGAATCTAAAGAACAAAATAAACAAAACAGAAACAGACTCATAGATACAGAGAACAAACTGATGGTTGCCAGATGGGAAGGAAGAGGGTTGGAGGGCAGGGTGAAAAAGGTGAAGGGATTAAGAAGTACAAATTGGTAGTTACAAAAGAGTCATAGGGATATAAAGCACAGAACAGGGAATATAGTCAGTAATATTGTAATAACGTATGGTGCCTGGTGGGTACTAAACTTATGGGATAAATCACTTCATAAATTATATAAATGTCTAACCACTATGCTGTACAGCTAAAACTAATATAAAATAATATTTAATGTCAACTGTAATTGAAAAAAGGTGGATAATCATGGAAATAGCCACCTGGAAATTAATCCTAAATTCCAACATATATACAGGAATAGGAGCAGTCTTTTGTTAGAGCTGGTCCATAGCTATTAACAGGCTAACTGCTCTGTTTCTCTCACTGTCCAGCCACTGTAATTTTAACTTAGAACATCTCAAGATTTTTTTCTTGTCAGCGGCATGAAATGAATTTGAAGACACAACCAGGAGCTTGAACGTGGAGGGTCTTTTAAGCTGTAGTGTTTGCATTTTAAACTAGTGGCTGACATAGGACCTAGAAACTTGTGATTTTCATAAGCTCTAGGATTCTGGTACTTATTCATACCTAGGAACCACTGGAATAAAATATCTTACCTGTTAAGGAAATGGATCTATCATTCGGATTCACATGCAGCTTGTTCCTCCTGTGCCTAGGGCCCACTTAACTCCCAGTCTCGCTGCTCTTCTTCTACACAGATAAGCCCTGCAAAATTGCAGAAAATATGGATTTATTTTCATTGCCACACAAGGCAATTCCCATTTTCTTCCGATCACAGGAAACTAATTGTGAAGAAGAGAAGCTCTGTTGTTCAAGTTTTAAAAATTATTTTCCACTATATTCATTTTAGACTAACTTTGAAAATGAAGGTTATTGTGCTGTTCATTTATGTAGCACACTGCCTTGTTACCTGCTTTTTTTTTTTTTTAAATATATCTTTATTGATTTCAGAGAGGAAAGGAGAGGGCGAGAGACAGACAGAAACATCAACGATGAGAGAGTAATTGATCAAGCCCACAACCCGGGCATGTGCCCTGACCAGGAATCGAACCCTGATCTCCTGGATCCCAGGTCGATGCTCAACCCCTGAGCCACGCCAGGCCAGGCGTTACCTGCTTTTGATGAACCTTCATTTTGAAGTACTGCACACCTTCCTAGAAGTAAAAGAAACTCTGACTCAAGTTTTCATTGGATTCCCGAAGGAGTCTTGTATGATATAGTGCTGGGAGATCTAATTTTTCCTCTTGCCTACTCACCCAAAGTGAGTGACATGGCCTGTTTGCAACTAATCAACATTATTTCGTCTTTCACCATTCCTCAGCATGCATCCTAAGTTCTGCCCTCCACTATCATCACCCTAAATTCTACCCTCACCTTCTGCAAATGATGGCTTCTTTTTTTTAAGCTCTCCAGTACAATATTCCTTCACCGCAACATTTCCCCTTTATTCAGCCTGGATACACCCCCCTTACCCCTTTCTCCAGATGTCCTGTTCATGTTGATCTTTCCCTCCACTGTAACCAGGAATGTTTAGATATTTAAGTTGTAAGTTATCTCTGGGAAGCCTATTTGTCTAGTTCTAAACTCCCTGAGGGCACAGATCTCATCTTGTTCTCCCAAGTATTCCCACAGAGCCTAAGTTGTCACTATGTACATTTTAGACAATGGATAACAATTGTAGTTTTGTGATCACTGTATACATCTAAATATGTAGAGTGTCCAGTATAATGTCCAATGATATTTTTCTATGTCTAATCACCCTAGTTGTTATAAACTCCTATTATGAGGAGACCTCTGCTATGCTATTTGCAAGCCCTTGGGGTCTATTTAATAGTGCTGTATACTATAGCGTGGAGCTAAAATATATATATGTATATATGTGTGTGTGTGTGTGTGTATATATATATATATTTTTTTTTTTCCTCCCACCTAAGTTTTTCTCGCTGGGCTAATAATCAAATTAACAGAGACGGATTAACAGGAGAAAATCCAATTTTAATACACGTGCATGGGGAATTCACATAAGCATGAAAATTCCAAAGACAGCGAGGCAACCCTGTACATATGTGACATTTTGAAGAAAGGAGGAAAAGGGGGGTGGGGTGGCAGGGGTCTTAGATTTCAGAAGTGAGAATGGGCTACTTACAAAGTAGTCGAGAAAGAGTGGAAAACACATCGCAGGCCAATTCTTACCAGGTAAGGCAGACACACTGGGACACAGCGGGCCTCGAGCTCCCAGGCCCCTGCCTGAAGCCCTGTCTACCATCCTTAACTCAGACCAGACTAAGGAGACTATCCTAAGGTCCCTTCCTGGAGTAGGCCTAGCTGTGGGAATCCCTCGGGCAGGAAGAGGGAGGGGCAGAGGATCTTTCGGAGTCTTTTGTTTCTTACAAACAGCTTAATACGGCCAAAGGCACACCTTCCGGCCCCG